ACATTTTTACATAATAGAACTTTTGATAATCCTATTTTATCATTATTGCTGCTTGTATCAAGTGTTTTTATTTAAGTCAAATGTTTTAATTATTTCAAGTGGTTTTACTTATATCAGGGGCTTTTACTTTAGTCAAATAGTCAAAATGTCCCTGGTGAGAAACTACCTTTAGTCAATACTTTAGTTACGTCAATGACTAAAATCAAAAGTTTCGTCATACATCATTAATTCCTACTCTCACTTTTTGTTCCACTATATTATCTGATCTGAAATAATATCAATGTAAATTTTTTTTTAACTTTTAATTCAAGAGTAGAGTGTAGCCATGTGATTTTATATAATGATCGGCGAGGATAAAATAATTCTTTTAAATCACTTGCCAATCATAAAAAAAAAATTTTGTTGTTAGGTTATTTCAAAAAAAGTTAAAGACAATAGTAATAGTAAATTTTCTATTTAATATTAAAATAAATATAAATAATAGATTTTAAATGAATAATAACCACATTATTAAATACCAAAAGAAAAATTTTAATTCTTTGCTAATGATCAAGGTTTACTCGTGTAATTTGGATCATTAAAAACATTTAAAAAATAGCAGGATTTTTCCAAATTTGGAGATCGCTTCTAGAAATTTTTGTTGATCAATTCATATACGCTACAAATGAGTAGAAAACGCCTACACCCCCCGTTATGTTATGTCGTTTTTTTTATATAAAACTTTAAAAAATAACTGTTAAATAATATTCTTTTGGAGATATAGTTTCATAATTCCCACTAATCTCCAAAGCTTTACAAAATAGTTTTTTCAGAAATAAAACTTGAAAAAGTAAATGCATGTCTGCCATGTAAAATTTTACTCCGTGATTAGTTCAGTGTTTTCCGTTATTAAACTCAGTTTTTTCCGTTTATATTAATAAATTAAAATATTAATATACATTTCCGTGTTTTTTTCCATAATAATAATAATAAATGTATCGTATGGAATCCATAGTTCCGTTTTTTCATTAAAAATACTATGGCACTTGAGCGTTTTTTATATGTGGAATTTTTATGGGGGAAAGGATATAAGTATTGAGTCTTGGAATAAATTCTGGGATAAAAATTTTGTGGAGCGTTTTGGTTTACCTGAACCTCGAAAGCATTTCTTGCGATTGTCTCAATTTCGCAAGCAAGGTTATGATGAAAACAGTGCAATAGAAGGATTAAAGGCCAAGGACATTGCGCAATGGGAAAATACTTGTTATAACACTAAAGATAATTTTGAGGATTCATTAGCAAAGGACATACGTAAAACATATTCGGCAAATTATTGGGAAGCTATACAGGAGCTTTCCCAATCATTGGGTTTTACTGGTATAGATGATGAACGAATTCTCTATGATGATCAAGTGAAAGTTGCATTTGATCTCGTGAAAGGTTTATAGAACTTCGAAATCAATATTTATTGCTCTTTGGCTTTAAGTCTCGTGCAAAAGAAATGCCGGATCTTAAATCAGCTATAAAGGCAATTAATGCAATTGCTGGCAACTATTGCGGTTATACTATAAAAGCTAACGAAAATTGATGGGAACTAAAGGACAACAGATTTGGAAATATTCATACCAAATTGACCGAAATCCATATAAAGGACTTGGTTTTGATAATAAAGATGAAATAACTAGGTATTCACGCGATCCTATAACTCCAGTTCTTCCACCATATAAGCCAAAGATGACTGATGAGGTTCAGAATCTTTTCGATTCCATACCTATTACCAATAAAACTGCTTCAGAATGTGCACAGAATCTCTGACTTATCTAATAATGTGATTTATGAAAATTCTTTATCCTTGGAGGTACCAGCTCAAAATCATCCAATTGATCCAGATAGAATGGAATGTCTCCATCAATATGCTATTGAGCTTGGGGAGGATTCAAAACAATTTTCGGTCGTTACTGAGTCCGAGAAAAAAATGCGGGATGAAAAATGTTTCCGTGATAAATTGGAAAGAGATATGCGTTTTTATCGTTATGCTGTAAAGGAAGGATTAGATCCTAAAAAATGCTCGAAATTAACAGATCGGGATAGGTTAACTGGCGGAGATTTATTGCATCGCGGTATACTAGAAAGTGGATTAAGTACCGCATGGCTTGATGAACTCATGAAGGAATGGGAAAAAACCATATCTAATGCATGAAGAGCACTTTCTCGAAAAGATGTATCAATGGCATATTTTAGTAATATACCTCTGACAGGGGATATACTGCTACAATTAGGCGAATATTTATTAACTAGGAGAGGAGAGATTGTAACATTCAGCTAGTTATTCATCCCAGGTAAGAGGATTTTTGTGCCTCTTACAATAAATGTGGGAAAAAATTCAGATTGCAAAATAATTGCGGGAAAATAATACCAAAGGTACCTGGACCATGGGGATTTTTGTGTCGGGTAATTTTTATCAAAGTAAAAATTCAGATAAGAGGTAATATAAAGAAGAGATAAAGAAAAATTTGTGCTTTTACATATTACCAAGTGGAGATAACAATTCGGCACTATGTGCCTCATCCTTGCATTCAAATGCAATGCACAAAGCAAATTACAGATTGCAAACAATTGTTCTTAGACGAGAACGGCACAGAAAATTGAGTTACATTCCGCCTTCGAGATTGCTTTTCCTGAAGTGTTACATAAAGTTGATCGTGAAAAATGGTTCACGATAGAGTCATGTTTGTTACATTTTGGAAGCTGAATGCAGAGTATGAATACACATTTTTACCGTCCGATTAAACGTCCGATTAAACACCTGATTCAACAGCCGATTTAACATCAAATGACAACATAAATGTGGCCAAAAACGTGCAATCGAATGACGCCATACAAGTGAATGCATTGTCGAGTCGCATATGAATACTATTTTTTTACGTGGTCGGAAATTAAAAATTGGCCACATACAAATTTCTAGACTATAATTAACTCATCCGGATGGCTAAAAATTAAAAATTGGCCGCACTCAAATGTGGTCAAAAAAACGAAATAGGTCACATAGGTAGGTAACAGTCTAACGTAAGTAGGTCACAATATATATATATTGTGACCTACCACAGGTTTTTTTCATTTTTGATGTCTACAGGGAATAATTTTTTTCTCTTTTTTCTTTCAACTTGTTGCATAAAATTTTGTCACTATGTGATAAACGAATGTCCATTATGCTATCTGGCTATAAAGGTGAACGGAAAATAATGTAGGAAGACTTCTTTCCAGTCAATCTGATTGTATTCGAAATTCTTACAGACCTCATTGACTATCTCAACGACAATAATCCATCTGACTGGTCTTTTTTGGACTTCCCTTCTACAAATTTCGATATGATCGTCAATCACCACCAGTCACCAAATGATATCAAGGGTCTTGTTAGTACTTGTTTTAATCGTTTAATTTCATTAGAAAGGCATATCCTGTCAGATTACTACCTGAAACATGGAGTATGAGTAATTTACTCGCCGAATGCGAGGGTTTAAAATTTTGCTAGATTACTACCTGAATCATGTGCATTTTCTTATAATGCTTTCTACCAATAAAATCATGTGCGAATAAATCTATAATTCTAATGTTCCATTTAAATTCACAAAGGTCATCATGAATTTTTATCAGGTGATTTCTCAATTAGAGATAGGTGTTGTATGCTAACTCTGCTAATCCCAGTTTATCTTTTTATTAACAATATTGACATCAATAGATCGAAAGATAGCAATGTCAAAGGCATTTATAGATCTGAAATGATTTTGTTACTGAAATTTTCCAACAATTTCAATGTGCTCATTCATAATTAGTCCAAAGTCAAGAATGTTGCGGATGAACAAGGTATCAACCTTGTAGGGTCCATGGATTAATATCAAGTATTTTGGATATGATTTTGTTTGCATCCTGACATTATGAACGGTTAAGAGAGTGCAGCTGTTGATCACTATGAATTCGTTGTTTGACATCAGATATCACCGAGTCTTATAAATGCTCAAAAATTGGATCCAAAACTTTTAAACGAGAATTGAGTGACAATTAGTGGTTGTATCCGCCGAATGATATTAATCAATTATTTAGATTAATCAGGTGTTGAAAATTTTTGATTGATTAATTGGGTGTTGAGAGTTTTCACCGGACAATTATAGATGAGGTCATTTATCATTAATATGCTATTATGTTGTAAGTTTTAGAGTTAAACAACATAGTACACAGTAAATCTCAGTTTAACGGATAGTTTGGGCAATTAGTATTGGGGGAATTTTTCCAAAAATCCGTTAAACTGAGAAATCCACTATACCAAGAAGGTTTTTATTAAGGTTTATTGTGGAACCGTTCTTGAATTTTTATCCGTAAAACCGAGATTTTAATCAGTATTAGTATCGCTACATCGAGATTCGCTGCGTAATACTAAAAAAAGAACTCAATGTGTAAAATTACCAAATTTAGAAAAATTGCCGACATATTAATATTACAAAAATTCTTACAAATAATTCTGATCCAACATTGAAAAAATTTTCAACCATCAATTTCTTGGATAAGACATAATCGAAGAGATTTTTTATTAAAAAAAGATTATTAAAATTGTTTAAATTAACTAATTGGTCTTATATAAAAAAATCTATACACATTCCCGAAATTTTTGAGAGCGCGTAACAAATTTTTGCGAAATTTACTTCCATCATTACAAAAAAAAAGGTCAACATTTATTCAAAAATAGGTATTATTTACTTTGCGTTAATGATGTTTTGATTTGCTTGGTTGTCTTCTTTGATTAATTTGTTGGTTTCAAATATTAATCAAAATTATTAAAAAATTACTTATTTTTTCAATGACAATCAATAATAATAAATAAATAAAATTTATAATAATCATAGGTATAATAGATTAAAAAATAGCTGTAGCAGCAGTAATAATAATAATATTATTATTATTACTATTTTATATATATAAGAATTTACAAATTACAAGGTAATATTTATTGCGTACGACTTAAGATATATATATATATATATATATTTATATATATAAATCTAATTAAATCATAAGCTTAAAAATATCAAAGTGAACCAAGTCTTTTATCTTTTTCCTCTTTAATTAAACCTTCAAATGCGGGTTCTACCACCGGGTTTGTTACCCCCCATAAATCACAAAAATCTTTTGCCAAATCAGCAGGTTCATCGTTGACATGAACACAGATTGCTTGAGTATGACCATCCTCGAATTCCACGTTTATTGTTAATAGGATTTGACCACGATCATGTTTATCAACACGTTTTGGATTAGTGGGGTAATTCTGTTCTAATACTGGATCAAGCATTGAACATGAGTCATAATAATAATCTTGTTCCTGATTAACATAATTATTATTATTTTCTTGATTAAAATTATTACAATAATTATCATTTTCTCCAAGTTTGGTTATCTGCATTCCATTATTATTATTATTAGAAGAAAGAGGAGGATGACGAAGGAATGGTTGTGGTGGTAGTAATGATGATGGTTGTGGTGGTGGTTGATTCCGATGTGTGGTTGAATCAAATCCTGGAGGAATTAATGCTATATTATTATTATCATTAGTTGATTTATTTGTAATAGGTTGTAGAACTGGCGAAGAAGGATTTTTATCAGATTGTGAATTTAGAGAGCTTGAAGGTATTGTAGTTAAATTATTATGATTATCATAATTGCTATCATTGTTATTGTTATTGCGGTTTTCTTTATTGCTTTTATCATTATCATTTCTATCATTAGTATTATTATTTTTAATACTATTATCATTCCTGTTATTTTTAACATTATCATCACCTTTGACATGATCGTTGTTATCATTTCTAACATTGATATTATTATTAGTTTTAACATTATTGGTACCCTGATATGTAACATTTTGCTTCCAATTGACATAATCTTGTGAATAAGGAGGTTGTTTGTACAAATTATATCGTTGTTGATAAGGACTTCTTTGGTAATAATTATAATAATTTAATGTTGATGCTGATATTGGTGGTGGTGGTTGTAATGGTGGTGGTCTATAAACAGGAGGCAGAGAAAATCCGTAAGTAGGCTTAGGTCTAAAAAGAGGAATAGGATCTCTATAATATCTAGGTGGAGGCGGAGGGGGGGGAGGGGGAGGGGGAGTGAATTTTTTGTATTTTTTCGTATAATAATTTTTCCTATTCTGTATTTCAAATAAAGTCTCTTCATCAACAGGAATAAAATTTTTTCCTTGACGATGTAATTGGCCTGAACCCAAACCATCATCTCTATCCTTTATGTTAGGATTGGCAAAAGAATTCCAGGACATCGCTGCAGCTTTTATGTCAACGGTTGATATATCAAAATCTTTTTTAGGTTCATTAGAATCATTATTTTCATTTGATTTTTCCTTTGTTGTTGTTGTTGTTGTTATTGATAATGATGGTGTTTGTTGCTGTTTATGATATTGAGTTGATGTCATTTGTTGCTGCTGAGAGGAGGAATTAGGCCAATCCGATCGCCATTGTTTCTCGTTGGTCCAATTTTGATTCCGCTGATTTTGTTGTGGTGGTGGTTGTCGTTGCCACTCATTCTTTTGTATTTGAGATCGAGCTTGTGAATTTGGCCAAACTGTTTCCATTTACCTTTTTTCTGATATTCCGATAGAAAAGAAACACATGCGTAATGTAGATCAATTACAATGTGTCAATGATCTTTTTAATCACGTGATTATACATACGAGTGGACTTGAGAATTGCATATTTTTATATATATAACAGCAGCGATGTTATTATTTAACGCGTTTTTATAATGACTGTAGCTCGGATGACAAAAAGTAATTTATTTAAAATGATCCCTATTTTAAATGAGATTTTAACCTCTATTTTAAGTATATTATACATAGCATCTTTATTCATGCCTTTGCTCGTCTATGGAGAGCTTGTTCTGAATGATAATGATTGATTGATATATTAAAAAACAAAGTAATTAATTGCATCAACACATACACACAATGATTACCTCTTGGAATGGTTCTGGTCTTGAATTAATACATATATATTCACTTGAAATATACACATTTAAAGCTTCGAATGGACTCGAGTTTATATCATCTCGAACATAAAAAAATGCTAACTCGAACTCGAAGTTTAATTATACATTATTTTTTTAAACAATTTTTTTTTAAAGAAAAAGATATTATACCGTGATCAAGTTTTGCTGTATGTTAACTTGAATAACAAAGCAGATCCATTCTTATTAATACCAATCCGAACTCTTTTTTTCTCTTCATCTCTTTATACTCATGCTGATAAAGTTTAATCTTCTATTGGTGCGACACAATTCTTTGCAAACCAACTAGAAAGCAACAATTTCGCGTCACCTTTGCCATGCGATGTACTACTGTACATATGAATAATAATATTATAAGAAAATCGGCGAGAAATTTCCTTTCTATTTTAGATCGTAACCGCAATCTATATGTATTAACGAGAAAAGGATAACGGATAATTTTTTTCTTCTTAATGTATATCAATATTGAACTGCTTTTTTAAGGAATGATCATATTTAATTCTAGTCAAATTCTAGTCATAAAGCCGAATTCGAGTTCTGTGTCAATTATAATATGTTAATATTTACATGTTTTTAATAATATGGTGATTTATTTTGTTTATTTACATGTGAATCATTAAAAATACAATCTATAAATACAAAAAAAAAAATTTAAAATAGTTTAATTTTTAATTGGTTTAATAAATCAGTAGCATCTTGATGATTTTTCAAAGCAGCCAATTTCAAATATTGAATTGCAAGATCTCTATCTATTTGAACATTATGTTTTCCATATAAATAAATATTTCCTAATATATAAAAGGCAGAAGAAACACCACCACCATGTGCAGCCAATTCCAAATAATTTAAAATATCTTTATCTTTAGAATTTAATGGATTTCTACTGCTGCTACTACTGCTGCTACTGCTACTACTGCTGCTGCTGCTGCTGCTACTACTACTACCACAACCACCACCATAATAATCATCATCATAGTTTTCAATTAAAGATTTTGCATATGAAAATTGTGCATCTGGAATACCTTGATCTGCTGCCAATTTAAAAAGATCAATTGCTTCGTTAATATTTATTTCACCATGATAACCTTCATACAAATAATGACCTCTCCAGTAAGTTGCTTCTAGTTTATTACCAATCATATGATGTGAATTAAAACATTCCCATGCCTTTAGAAAATCACCATTTTCATGAGCCTTGATACCTTCATCAAGGGTCATCATCAATGATGAATTTACAGTTGGAACAATATCGAGATTTGAATCCTTATTAGTAACGGGAGGTTGTGGTGGCTCATATTTTTTATCTTCATCGTTATTTTTTTTCTTATCATCATCATTCTCACCATCACCATCATAATAAATTATTTCTATTACTTCATCATTATCATTATATTTTTGAGGCTCTAGCATAGATGATTTTTCTTTTGATATTGGATTATTTTTTGATAATTCATCAAGTTCTAAGAATAATAAGTAAAGACATGGTCGTAAGGATGCATCATCTTGCCAAGCTTTTTTTTTTAGGAGCAAATAAGAATTAATAAATATATATATATCAAATATATGTGTGTAAAATAGATAAAAACTTTTTTTGATGCTTACCAGCTCTAATCAATTTAGAATATGATCGTTCTATTATATTAGGATCATTTCCAAAATCCATTACTTCTCTAAAACCTGCCAACACATGATTAGATATTTGTAAAGGACTCCAACCTCTATATGGAATTTTATTAAAAGCAAGTTCCCATAATAACATTCCAAAACTATCAAAAAAAAAGTTTTTAAAACATAATTCAGTTGAAAATAAACCAATATACAAGTACATTTAAATGAGTATTCATTTAAGTTATATGCAAGTATGCAAGTATGTACTATTACCTAAATATATCGCATTTATAGGTGTAATATGCTGATCTTTTTTTATGTCTTAATTGTTCTGGTGCAATCCAATGTTCAATAGGATCAAAATGATTATCAAAAAACGGATCAGGATGTAAAGGACGAGCAAATCGAAAATTTGTGATTTTTGGTTCAAAATTCTCACCAACCTGTTATTATTATTATTATTATTATTATTATTATTATTATTATTATCATCATCATCATCATCATCAACATAATAAATATAAATTATTTTGCCATCAAAAATAATAAAACACTTTCCATAATATTTTCACATCTTAGATCATAGTGCATAATATCACATCCATGCAAAAATAAAAGTCCACAAGATATACCAACAGCAATTTTTAATTTAAGAGGCCAACTCATATTAAATTTTTCATAAAATTCTTTCAAATTTCCTTTCTCAACCCATTCGTAAACTAAAACATTTTGTGTTGTTGTTATACTTGAATTTGTTGAATTGTGATAATTCCAATCTTTAACAACCGAAAGTGCATAGAATTTTAAAATATTTGGACAATTATTTAATTTGGGGAGTAGAATAAGATTATCAAAAAATTTTTGTGGCTGTTGCTCATATCTTTTACATGCAACTAGAATACTTTTTGTTTTCTTCTTTTTTTCAATACCACTGCCACCACCACTTGACAGCCACTTTCTAACTTTAACATTGCCAGCACCACCATATTGATCTTTCCTCACAAATTGATTGTATATATTTATTAATTCATCAGATGGAATCTCTTTGACTTTCATTTCATTTGAATTATTTGTATTATTATTTTCATTCAAGTGTGCTTTGACTAATATGGTTTCTTCGAAAATTGGGTTAACTAGAAATTTTGATACTGTTATAGATCCTTCAGCTCTTTCAAGAAACTAATAAAAAAATGATATTATATTTTTAAAAAAATTAAATTAATAGTTTACATATGGAGTATATTTATTAATTTACCTTAGTAATTATTGAAATATCATGTTCTACAGCTTTTAAATCTTTCTTTTTTTGTGTTACAAAATCAAAAGGCTTCTCCAACTTTAAGTCTGATAAAACTTTATCAAATTCTTTTGTGACTCTTTCAAAACGTCTTTTAATAATGTTAGTAGTTCTAAATTTATGTAAATTCCAAAGAAATGACAAATCGGTAATTAATTGTTGTGATTTCTTTAAAGCTGCAATTAGACTTAATAAATTATTATAGTAATTTTGATCTAGCAATAAAACCATCAACATCATATTGTTACTGTTGTTGTTGTTGTTGTTGTTATTATTATTATTATAAGTTTTGTGTGCTTTTAAAATTTTCTTCATAGGCATTTCAATAAATTCAACTCTATCGATTAAACAATTACAAATCTTTTTGCTGTATTGTGCAAACTCAAATGAATTGTAATTTTTTTTGATTAATTCCATAATGGTATTTGTCAAGATATCATATGGTTTTGAAAGTTCTCCGATAACAGCATGACCACCTAATGAATCAGTCGCAATTCTTAATTTTTTTAACTTATCGTCATTGAGATTATTAGATACTTTATTTTCTAATCCTTCTTCGTCGGTACTAATTTGTAATTCTGTTTCTAAAACTGACATGATTTTTATAATTATTTAAAGAAATATATTTCTAACAGTTTTATTGGCTAGATTCTGCGTTGATCAACGTATAAAATTTTAATCTTAAAAATAATAACAATGATAACAAAATAAATGATTTTCAATGTGCTCAAATTCTGTAAATTGTCACGCCGCATAATAATTATTGCCCTTTTTTTACATATACTAAACCTTGTATTTTGTTTTGGACAATGAATATATGAGTGTGTGCGTGTGTGCGCGCATGCACATATTTGAGATAAAGTTCAAAAAAAAAAAGAAAAGAAAGATTATTTACTGCGTAAAGCATTTGAAGTCTGTAGAAAATATATGCGCGAGATAATCACTTTAAATATTTATAGATATGTAAATTATTATAACTTTTTTATTTTATTCAAGGATTTCACTTGCCAACGCATCTTCTATTGATTTGACTGGGTAATATTAATATTATTTAAATTAATAAAATACAGCCGAACCTCGTTATAACGAACATATGAATTTGGCCTCAATTGTCCGTTATAACAAGGAAAATAATAACAAATAAATAATATTAATATAATCCAGTGTTATCACTAATTTGTAAAACAAGAAGTCGTTTTTCCTTGGTTTAGGTTTTTAGAACATATAAATTAATTTTTTTCTTTAATGTATGGAAAATATAAGGTGAAGGACGTGACTTTTTTAATGTTGCTTTAGATCAGCCGTTATTTGGAACTTTTTAAGGTATCAAATTCTTTGGCTAAATCAATATTTTTTTTTGTTCGGTTCTTGTTTTAATAAACTTTTGTACAAAGTAATATGGATTCGTTTTTTTGGTTCATATTAGAATTAGGAAAATTGTTTATATGTTTCAAACTCAATAATTTTACTTGGATAATGAATTTTATTTATGATTTTAGAAATTTTATTGTTTAATATTAGAAAGATCTGTCAACGAGACTAGTAGAATATATATATATATATTATAACCACTATTATTATTGTTGCTGTTCTAAACTGTTTTAGATTCATTTTGACCTTCAAGTTCTTCTGGATACTAAAAAATAATAATAATCGATTAATTTATCCTCAACCATCTCCCCGACAAATATGTAATTAACGCTAGGTAATGCTCTTACACATTTAAATACACCATCAACAAAAATTTGAGGATATTTTCCAGCTTTACTTTTTTTTTTCGAATATTTTGATGCTTCTTCATTTGATGGATATATCAACAAGATGATAAATAATTTAAAATATTCTCTGCTAGAGTTTGGTTACTTTGGGTCTAAGTAAAATAAATAATCAATTAATCAATTGGTGTTATTTTATTAATTAGAAAAAAATAATTGCGCCTGTCTGTCTCCGGAAACACTTGGATAGTATACTTTAACTTTTCCTGATAAAAATATTGCGCGTTATGAGTTCGCTTGCTAATGTTGTGTGTTACTAGGTAACCTGAATTCTTTTTCGTTGTTACTTGACAAGTTGGTTCTCATCCAACCAACCACGGGTCGGTGGCCGTGATCGTAATCATAGACAGGTAATTCTCGTTATTGTTGATCATGGAAATTGCACATTTTTCATGGATAAATGGACGAGTTTCTCGGTAAGCAGTAATCATAATGAGCTCCGTTATAAAAGGTATATGCATATGCATTTATTATAAACCATATTTAATTATTTTCATAGAACATTATTAGTAACACCTTTCACTACAGATTTATCAAAACTATTTGTAGATGTTTGGATGAAAAATCAAAAATCATCACTACTATTCACATCATATTAATATTATTATTAGATTTCATAAAATGAAAAAAATTCAAAACGCATTTGAATTGTCTTTAGTGCCTGACTTTGAAATACACATAAACATACAAGTTGTGCTAACTTGATGTTTTTTCGAATTTTGGCCGAGGTTAACTTATGTGTAATAATAATACACAATAATATTATTATTATTAATGAAACAAAAATACACTCGAGTTGTCTTTATTGAAACGATATTGGTTGATCAATATTGGTACGTAGAACAACCGTTACATAGCACATAATACAGGATTTGGTACTGATTTTTGTAAACTTTAATTTTGAAGATTTATAACTAGAGTTTGGGTGATGATAAAGTTGTTCTTTAAATAATGCAATTTTATACTTCAATTTTCGAGATTTATATTTAATCAATTAATCCTGTCAAAGAAAAACTTAAATAAACTTAATTGTAAAGTGAAAAAATGTGAATTACGAATAATATTACGAGGAAATAGTTTGTTACACGCAAAATTATTCTCAAAAAAAATTTTTTACTTTCTATTCATTAAAACACCAAGTCAAATTTATTTATATAATGTCACATTATAAATTATTATCATCGTTATCACAAGAAAGAAAGGGATTTGTATACAAAATTTATAAGGAAATGGAGAATAATGAAATAGTTAATTCTGATAGAGGAAGTAGAAAAGATTATTTTTTTTCATTAGTTGAAAAAAACAAGGAGCTTTCTGAAAATGAAAAAGAATATTGTAAGGAAGAGTTATTTATTGGTTTGAATTAAATAATGTAACATATAAAAAAGGCAAACCAAAAGAATGTAACAGCTGTAAATTGATAAGATATTCTGATAGATTCTGTGAAGGTTGTATTAGTTTACAATTGCAGAGTCTTTTCACTACTTGGACTTCTGGAAATAACATAATTGATGATTTTATTCAACAATGTCAAATGAAATCATCTCTACCAGAATATATTTTAGAATGGATACCTTTTGAGCAATTTGAAAAAGTAAAAAAGTTGACTGAAGGTGGATTTAGTTCAATTTATAAAGCTACATGGACAAGAGGAATGATTGATGATCATGATGAAACTAAAATGGAATTTCATTATTTTGGAAGGCAAGATGTAATATTAAAAAGTTTAAATAATTCAAGTAATCCAGGAAAAGCCTTTTTTAATGAGGTTGGTAGTTTTTATTTAAATCAAAAATAAATAATACTGTATTATATATAATGCTGATTGATTTATATTTATTTTCAGGCAGTGAATTATTGTAAAATTAAAGCATCGCTGATTGTTCAGTGTTATGGTATAACTAAATTCCCAGATAATGGAAATTATGCAATAGTTTTAAATTATTTTCCAGAAGGAAATTTAAGGGGTTATTTGCAAAAACATCATTTAAATTTAACTTTAAAAGACAGAATTGTAATCTTTTATTACTTATGTAATGCATTATATCAAATACATTACAAAAATTTAATTCATTGTGATTTACATAGCGGTAATATATTATTGCAAGGAGGTAATTGTTATATTACAGATTTGGGATTATGTGGACCAGCTGATGAAAATTCACCAAATAAAATCTATGGAATTGTATCATATATTGCACCCGAACTATTTGGAGGCAAAAAGAACACAAAAGAATCAGATATCTATAGTGTTGGGATGTTAATGTGGGAAATATTTGCAGGTCATCCACCGTTTGACAATAGAGCTCATAATCATGACTTAATTTTTGACATATGTGGAGGTTTACGACCACCAATATTATCTGAAATGCCTGATGATTATGTACAAATGATGCAGAGGTGTTGGGATGTGGATCCATCAAAAAGACCAACTAGTATAGAGCTTTATGTTTTTTCTGTAAACAAACGTAAGGAAGTTTTTGATAATAATAATGATAATAATAGTGTTGGAAGTAGCATCAGTAGTAGCAATAATAATAGTAATAATAGTAATAAAAGTAATAGTAAGAATAATAGTTTAATAAAAAGATTATTCAAAATTAAAAATAATGATGGTAGCAGCAGCAGTAGTGGTGGTAGTGATTCGCAACAAGTATACAAATCACATCCATATGCATATCATACAAGTAGAATATTAGATGAAGATATTGCTAAATTTAAAAGCTTAAAAGGTTATGCAAGTAATGATAGTTCGTTAAATAATTTTGATTTTAACTCTCTCTAAAATTTTAACAAAGGTGAATGAAAATTTCATTATTGATTACTATCCGTTGTTTTCTTAATTAATTAATAAACATTAGATTCTAGTAATAATAGTAAAAGAAAGAATTGATGAACGACTAATTTAATTTCTAATATAGATTTTTTTATTCATTATAATTATTTATCTTTTCATTTTATCTTTATTTTATTTCTTAAAGCTAAATTATTCTGAAATAATAAATTTTTTGATTTTTGTTAAATGTTAATATTGTGAGGTTCTGATTATTCCGATTATTTAACAAGTATAGCTTAACTTTGGGCTACTCTTGTCAGTTAATTGTAAACAACTCACAATAATTCGGTGCTTGTCAATTAATTATATCGAATATATTTATATGGTTTTTTGTAAGCTTTATATTTCATTTAGTCTTTAAAGCAATTTTACTTGCGTCAAGTATTCTTGCTTGTGTCATTTTGACTTAATGAATAGTTTTACAATTCTGATAAACATTTCGTCAAAACAAATGGCAACAAGGGAAATATACAATAAAATAACATTATATATGTATATACAAACAATTCAACAAATATTATATATCAGTATCATGTTCACGATCAATAGTAATAATAGCTTCTTGGATGTTTGGCCAGCCAAAAAAAAAAAAAAGGCCAAACAACCAAAACCAGACAAATCACAAATGCCAAACTGATAAAGATTTCGGATAATTTCCTAGTTGTTGCAATTTATCTACTATGCATGTTTAACATATATTTAAATTCTCATTTAAACTTTCTTCAAGTGTATTTTTTTAATTTCTTCAGAAATGACAACAACGACGACAATAACTTACTCTTGTCCAATGGTTGAAACAAAGAATCTATCCGTTAACAGAAGAAAAATCACTGAACACCTACAATTATCTTTACTCGACTAATAATTGTAACAATATTAATTAATATATATGTGCATGTACATACAGTATATATATAATTTTAAAAAAATTAAAAAATGCTAATAAATAAGTAACAACCACAAATATCACTAGATATGAATTGGTT